TGGTAATTCCTCTCCCTCGCCTGGCCACAGCAGTTTGCTCACCATTCCAAGAAGTATTTTATTTCTATTTTAAAAGTGAGCAACCCACTTTGTCCATCAATTAAAGATGTCTTTAGAGTAAAAGAAGGAAACCGCCATACAGACCGCTGCTTCATGGAAAGCCCAACCTGACCACACCTGGTTTTGAAAACTACAAGCAAATGGCTGAGGCTTCTCCCTCAACATGGGAGTTCACTAATGCAGCTAAGGACAGTGAAGAAGGTACTTTAGATAAGTATAATAATAAGACAGTGGCTAAGCTCAGGCTAAAGAGGTAACATAATTCTAGCTGTCTTTTTTTTGTTTGCATTCTCTTTTTATAAAAGAACTGCCATCATTATTTTATATGCTAGTGTCTGTCAAACTGGATCATCTAGAAGGCTGAACTTTTCACAGACAATTTGTCATGCACTTGCCAGTTGTTTCATGCTGACAGAAAAAACATTTCCACAATCAAACTACTATCATTATTTCTTCTCTTCCCCTATGATTTACTGAGATGATGGTAATGCCTGCAGCTGCCAATAGGCTACTGCAGACTGAAAATCCATTTAAGACAGGGAGTAGGCCAACTCATAAATACAGTACCTGAAAATCCCTGGAAAGTGTGGCTTGCTTTGTTTTAATGCTGCTTTAGCCCTAACTGTATGGACAATATATTCACAATTTCACTGTTGTCTCAGCAAAGTCTTCTTTAAGAAACTACATTTTGGGTGGAGCCATCGGATTGCCCCATTCCTTAAACCATTACCCTACACTCACAACCTCCTTCCTTTTGCTGCACCTACATCCCTCCTGGTGGCAAGCTCACAAGCACAGTGTAAGCCAACAAAAGTGGTGGGGAAACCTCTCACCACAACTGCTGTCCTACAGTCTGTTATCCACTAGCCAAACCATCCAGAGGGCAGCATTTATTATATTTTTTTCTTGTCACTTTGTGGGCTTAGGTGCTGGAGATGCATAGATGGGCAGTGCATTTCCCAGTCCTGGCAGGCTGGGGGGACGTATCTGCAGAGGAAATTGGGTCTGGGAGTCAGATAGTGGTGCTGAAGGAGGGTGAGGAAAGAGAGGCTAACCAAAGTGGGGTGCAGCTCCTGTCAATTAGGGACAGAAAAGAGAGAGTACCTACAACATTTTGTAGTCAGGCATGTTCAGCCTGCTCAGCCTTCTCCCAGGCAGTGACCCTGATGCAAGACCAAGCATGGTTACCTGAGAAAGGGACTCCCCTTACCTAGAGCTGCTTTTCCTACAGCCCTGGTTCTGGTCAGTGCTAAGACACAGGTCCAACACTGTGAGCACAGCTGTTTCCTGAAAGCAGTGTTACTGTTAAGGAGGAATGAAAGCACTGGTACAAAAAGCTGCACTCCTAAGACATGCTCACCAGTAGTTAGGAACAGTGGTGTAACTGTTCAACAATGTTAACCCATCAGTTTTCCTAGCTGAGATGGAAGTCCCTGCCTCTAAACTTCAGTGAGCACATAGAGAAAGAGGTTGGAAAAGTTGAGTAAACATCTAAAAAAATCTTTAAGGCTTAGAAATTTTTGGTGATTCTCTGCTCTGATGTGGCTCTGAAACATATCCAAAATAAAAAGGAGAACTATAAAACCTGTACGAACTGTGGATTTTTTTCTTAATTTGTGATATTTCAATACCACCAATATTAGATGAAATGGCATGAATAGGCTTGATTGGTATAAGTTCTAATTTAATTAGTTCACTAAGACAAAACCAAAGTTTTGGAAGAAATAACAGAGAGAGGCTGGTAGGCTAATCTATCTTGTCCTGATGACTCTGATGTTGCCTCGTGGATATTTCTTGTGTCTCAATAAAGAGATTTGCAGGTTAAAATGGAGACGATAAGAATTACTTGGACACCTTTCCAAAGCAGTTGGAGATGTGTGAGGAAAAACAGAACAGTGGCTAAATCAGGATAGCTCAAGCACCTGGAGCTGTGAGATGGATGCCATTTTTGAGGCACCTCATCGAACCATTTTCTAAAGGTATTAACCTTCTCTCAGAACAGCATGGTAGCAGCTAAGAGCCTGGGCATGCTCAGGGCATGTTTGAAGGACTTTTTGTGCTGCCAGAAATGATTGTTTCCTCTTGCCTTCAATTCTGCCTACAAGACCATAGTAGGAAAAATAGTTGAGCCAGAAATAGAACTGTCCTATGGGCAAAATTCAGCCACCATGCTAACAGTTAGACCACTCTTCGATCAATTTGTCATTCAACTAAATTTTCCATTTATTTCAACACAGTTTTGCTTTAACTACAACCAGCTTACATGTATTTAAGCTTTACTGCCTTTCTTCAAGGTGGGAAATCCAGTACATTAGCCCATTTTATTACAGACACTAAACTGAGCTGCTTTAAGCTAAGAGAAGCCCTGAACAGTAACAGAGAAAAGACCTTGGTGCTAACAGATTGAAAAGCAATTACAGCCCCCCCAAGAATAGAACGGTCTACACAGACACCACATACTGCATTCATGTTTTCATTTTAATTAAAATTATTATCACATAAAAACCTGATTTCAACCACTTCCATCTTCCTTCTGTAGAAACAGAAAAGAATCAAGCCTATATTATTTTTGTTGGTGTCTGAAAAAAGTGCCCTGGAAATTACAAAGGCCCATGTGGAATTATAATCTTTAAGGAAAAGATTGTGCAATTACTTAATATCAAAACAAAAACTTACCCCACACTGCCATGAAAACAGCAAAAAATACAGTAGCTCCATTGTCAAAAAGGTGGGTTACCTGAAGGATATATTAATAGTGTGATCAATTTATGATAATAAGGCTTTATATTGTATTTTATTCTAGTAAAATTAATGTGATCATGTGTGCAGCTGGACTGACAATCCTGAGGATCCTTCCCTTGATGTGCGAGATGCACCTGTCAGTTGACAGGACTATTTGCCAGCCTTGGCCTGGGACTGACCCCTGCTAAGACCAGGTGCAAGCATCTTTTCAGACCCAAAGCATTAATTTTGTGGAGCTGTGTACAAAGGATGGATCATAAGAGAAAGGCTGATGCCAAGGACCCCGTGGCACATGCATCTAGGACATGACCTCTGGGACTGCTGAATCTCTAAGTGCAAATTGCATTCGAGTGTTTTACAAGCCAAACTAAGTCCTGGTAAAAGACAATGAATGTTAATATTGCCTGCACTTGATTTGTCCTTTCAAGATTTTATCTACCCAAGCTCACTAAAGGCAAATGCGAAAGGCAAAATGAATGCTTTTACCAGAAAAGCATTTCTATTTACATAGTTTAAAATGTACCTTGGCATAAATGCAGCTGTCCGACAACCTCATGAAGGGACAGTATTTATCACATATAGGACACATTATTATATCTGTTGCCTGGCAGACTTCTTTACTGGAAAAACAGAGAAGAGAAAAATTAATAGTTTGATGCACAACAATTAGTCTTAAAATGGATTGATAAGTTTTACTAATATTCAGCTACTCATTGAACAACACTGGTTCTGTAACTGAAGCCAAGATGATCATAACTGCACATGTATAATTAATATTTGTTGACTCTCTAAGGCTTCAGAGTTTACAATCATAACTGCAGAGGACAGCTCTTCAGAGCCAGCCTAGCAATATCTCTTTACCATTTCCAGCTTCTTCTTGAGTCAGAAGTGACCTTTGGTAGGAAAAGAGAGAATATGACTGCAGATAAAGTTAAGTTTGAGTGACTCAAGTGTGAAAGAATGTAGAGACGCAGCACTCAGCAGAGGGTCCAGGGGATTCTTCATCTGAAGAATGCCTCCCTGTGGTGGATCTTTGGGAAAAGCCTTGAAGAGAGTGAAAATTCCACACTCTTATGCTGGTCTGTTACAACAGTAATGAAGGAGCTCTACTTTTTCCCTACTTCATGCTGAGTTGCCAGCGCCATCAGCAACTGGAGCTGGGCAAAAACACATTGCCTCCCATCCCAGTTCAGGAGCACTAAACAAGAGAAGCTCAGTACTGGGTACTTTATGAGAACCAAGCACTGTCTTTTCCTGAGTATTCATTCAGTAGCTCAATATGAAATAAATAACAATTAATTTAAAGATCTCTTAAATTATTCAAAATAACCCACAGCTGTAATTTACCTTATAAAATTGCCCACATTACCTGACTTGGCAGTGGTTCAAAGTGGTGACTCCATACAAAAATACAAACAATCCAATGAAGGCAGCTGGGAAGAGCATCCCTGTGTACCAGCCTAACCAGGCAAAGTACAGCCCAATTTTCTCACCAAAGTACCGTCTGTTTTAAAACACAACACAGCAAAGTTACCTTCTTATTAGAATAAATCTGCTTAATATTGCTTGCTAATAGAAAATAAATATTTCTGTCGTATCTGAAGAGTAGATTAGAGAGCAGAGTCAGAATTTCCTGAAGAAAAAGCCTGTAACGAGGCTTTTAAATCCACACTGAGGGACTTGCCTCATGAATGAACTCAAAAAAAGAATTAAAAAATTCGCTAAACACAGTTTACAGTGAGATGAGTGGAAAGCACAGAAAGGAAACCCTGAGTTAATTTTTAAAAGCTAGTTCTTTGTGATTGGGAAATTGATGGCTTTCTTGCCTTTTGGCTGTGTAAGTGTACTTCCCAAATAAATGCATTGAAATCAGTTTCATCCCTAAAACTAGTATAACAGCAAAAGTTATTTCTAGGAAATCATTTAACCAGAGGTTATTCTTCAATTCAGTTTATTTGATTATATCTTTTCTTAGCTCTGTTACTAGAAAACTAATATCATGATTCTACCACAGGTGGAAAGTAAAGTGCAAGTGAGGTCCAACAAATATCTTTATGTATCATCTTTCACTGAATTAAATTTGTTAGCTATATTGCTTAAAAACTAACAGCAAAGTGTCCAGGAAGGTCCTATTTGCTACATATTCATTAGCTTTTTTCCTCCTCCCAAACACAACCAAACCTTTATTTATGTGTTAAAGAATATGTCAAGCACACAAAAAAACTGCTGAACTCATCAGCATAGGAGCAGGCTGCATGGATTGTCCTGTGTTTGATGGTCCTGTGCACAGTAGGCTGATGATCAGATTAGGTGCTTTACCAATCAATATGCAATTATCATGATTACAATGAAGATTTTAGGAGATTATTTACAAGTTCAGTTTTAAAGAATGAGGCAAGATTATATTCTTGCACTTCAGAGACTATGCAGGCAATTTAAACCTGCATATCAACTGAATTTGAGAATAGCTGCTGATGAAAACCCACTTCTATGCTAATGATGAAACTTCTGATCTGTCCAAAGAGTGCTACCAGAAAACATCTTTGGTTAAACTTTCATAATGAGTAGGAAAAGATCCATGATGCACTCTAGGGCTGGAGGCAGTGGAGAAGAGAAAGAAATGCTTGGTCTGGAATAGAAAAAATAATCAGTTTTCAAATGGATATAAAAAATTTCCAGTGTGAGCAGTACCTGCCTGGGCTGAGCTCATGCTCTGCTGGATGATACTGACTTACACCGGTTATTATAATTTGAGTTTACCAGCACTGTATGAGAAGCCAAATATTATCATGTTGGTTTTATTCTTCTGTCATTCAACAGACACTCAAATTTAAAGGCTAAAGGGTAGTAAGCTAATGAAAACACATGCAATTCTGACAAGAGCAGCAGGTCTGGTTGTAAAAAGACAAACTGGAAACTACTTTTTGAGCCCTGACTTAAAAGTGTTAGTGAACCCTTTGGCCTAATTATTTTACTGACACCTAGGATGTCAAGCTGTGCCTGCTCTACTGAAAAAGCAAGCTCACATTTTGAGCTTGCTTCCACTGAATATTTATGACATATTTTTCTCCTTGTAAATAGTTCATAGTAGTGAAGCAAACCTAACATTCATCAAGATTTATTTTTTTATTTCATTCCCAACATTCAAGGATGAATTCTTCCTCATTTCATCCCCCTAGACGACAAACATTCACGATAAACTTCATCTTCTATCCTGTTGAGCCTTTCCATCTAATGGTGCAAATCTTAGTACTCTTTTCTGATCTAGAGATAGAACAGCTTCATCCTAGATGAAGACCCAAGCAAGGTTCAGTCCATGCGGAAAGAAGAACGGACATGATGGGGAGCAACCTAAATCTCTGCAATATAAGGAAAAGGCATCTGAGGCCCTTTGTGAGCCTGGTTTTAAAAATAAGTGCAGGATGCTGACATTACTTTGATACATATAGGTTTAAATATGGACAAAGAGCCTCCGTCTTCCACTATTGCCCTTTACTTCACAACTGGTATTCCATAGGCTGTACAGCTGTAATTTGCATCAGTATTAAGTTAATACTTTGTTTCTTCTAGACCTGTAGTTAGCATACCCTTTTTGTAAGTCTCTGCTCACATACCTCTAGGTTCATAGAAACTAACTATGGCAGTTACAAGGTCTTTGGAGACCATCCTAGGTGCCATGTTCAGAGCAGTTTCATATTTATTCCAATTCATGATTGGGTTAGCCTGGACCATCATGACCCTCAGGAGACGAAGATAGTTTAGAGATACCTTCACCACTCTTTGCCATCAAGTTGCACCAAATACAAGGAACAAGCTCTTTCTTTCTCTTCTGTCACTGTAACAGAAATTTCATATAGGTCTCTACAGTGATGGCAGTTCTCTCACCTGCATGCTGGCTCTTTAGCAGAACTCAGTAATGTACATGAAAAATTCCAGGGATATTTTTTTCTAGCATGCATCACTGTGCATTACGTATATCTAAATTTCACCTGTTATCACTCTGCTCATTGAAGGCCTCTTTGAAATTTTCCAGCCTTGATAATATTTGAAATTCTGTTAACTTTGCTAACTTATTACCATCCAATTTTTCATATTTTTAGTAATAATAGAAAAAAATATTTTGTGTCTTTGATGGTTCTCCCATATAAAATTTCCTCCACAACTAACCTAAAAAGCAGAGACATAAAAAAACCCCGAGCACCTTACGGAATATTCCATCCCTCCTGTCCTCATATATGCTGTACCATTAGAATAATAATGAAAAAATAATTTCAGCTTCTCAATTTTATGCTAGCATGTATACTAGTCCTCCAATATCACCTACCTTAACAGCAAACTGTCTCTACCCTCACCCAATTCCAATGGCAGAACTATCACTGACTTAACTGGGCCAAGATTTCAACCTCAGTGATTATCAATAATGTACATTTTTAAAAAGTATTAAGCTACAAATTCTCATTTCAGACCCACAAAATGTGATATTCCTCTGTGTTTAATGACCTTCATTATAGAATCTTTTGTTTCAGGATGCTTAGAAGGAAGTCATGCAGCTAGAATACAGACAGGTTTGAACTCAAGCCAAGAACCTATCTACCTTCATTAATCCTTTTGCAGGTCAGAAAGAAATCCTATACAGACCTTTTTACATCACAGAACTAAGTTGTGAGGGAGCTAGAGCTTTCCAACAGGTGTTTTGGACAAATGAAGTTCTCATGTTATGTCAGGAGCAATTGCTTGGGGAGGAAGGCTTGACAGGAGATTGAAAGGGAGTTGTCAGCTTGCAATAAAGTCATTTAATATAAACATGGAGTAAAATGCAAGTTACTCAGGCATTACTTTTGCTTTCAGGTTCGTTTAGGCAGATTTACAATCACTATAAATATAGTTTTTTCCCCTCCCTTTTTGTTCTGTAAATAGCATGTGCAAGCAGCAGCAGGAGTAATTTGTGCACAACCTCGAGGGAAGCAGCTATGCACAGGAGTGTGAAAGTGGTGATCCAAAGCCCCCAGGAATCACTGCAGCTGTTTCCACTGATTTATATGATCCCAGGGCATGTAAATACGATAAGCCCTACCTCTTTCCAATTGCTATAAATTATAAGGATCTTAAATTATTCTTGTAAATTAACTATAGATCCTGAATTCCAACAGAACTGTAATTAAAATCATGCTACCACATCTGTTGATTAATGAATGCCTTTGCAATTGTGCCAAATCTGCACCTTCATGCTGTCACGTGTTTCAAAGCAGCGTGAAAGCAGAATCATGCAGTTCCTCTCAAATGACTTCTTCTCATTTATTTCTGGTGACTAGTACCTCCATTACAGCCAGCTGATGAGATTAAATGTAATCTGGGAGGCACCAAATTGACATCATTGAAGATGTAAGGCCTCATTTTAACAGCTAAGGAAAAAATAAAACAGCACCAAAGTATAAATAATTTTGCTTACCATTGTGGCAACTTGACTTTAAGGTGGAAATATCATATCTATTAATAAGATAATTATATCATCTACATCTAATTTACTCCTCAGCCTTTTTAAAGCATGTAGTAAAGGAAAATGTCAGCTAACAACTGTAAGTTCTGGCCAGATGTCTGTGGAAAAATTAACATCCATTCACTCCTTTTGTACAGATGGCAACATGACCCCCTTCAAGTACATTCCCCCATAGTGGTTGGTATGGGAAACAAATAAAAAATTTGCTCCTGCTGCAGAACTAGTACTAAAAATGTTTCTGTTTAAAGTATGCATGCTGAGATACTTCCGAGTGGAATGAACAACATGTCTTGCTGGTGTTGTCAGCTCTTCAAGGAAAAATCTCAGCTCACTAGACACATGAGCTGCTGAGAGTGGCAGCAGACAGGAAAGGTTTGGCAGGAGCTAAGGAAATGCAGGGACTTAGCACCTGTGAAGTGAGAAGAAAAAGGCATTCCCTCCCCCTTCCTATCACCTCTCCTTCAGTGATTTCAATGCAACCATGGGTGTGCTCCAGGCAGCAAACAGCAGGCTGGGCTGGGGCTGCAGCTTTGAACCCTGCTGAGCTCCATGGCTACTGAGAGTCATGAACGCTCAGGGAGCTTCACAGCTCTCCCTGCCCCGGCTCCTTTTTGGTTAAACATCTAGTCTGAGCCACCACAGGATCCCCATGACCTCAGGTGAAGGGTCTGCTATTTTGATTGCTTTTTTTCTTTTGTAAAATAGCTGTGGAAAAATCTGTGGATGTCACTAACTGATAAAAAGCTAAATCATCTTACAAAATATTAACATAAAACCCAGGCTACTCAAGGCAGCTGCTACCAAAGTCCAGAACAATCATGTGCTTAATCTTGCTCATTCTGTTACCTTTTATTTTCATACTTAAAAGCCTTCAAGATGCCTGATGGCCCATATTCATAAACCAAATTAAATTGAAACCCAGATATTGACTCAACAGCACTTTCACAAAACAGAAACATTGAAGAAGAACAGTAGCCTTGACCACCATGGACAAATGATCAAAAACCATGATAGAGATAAGTTGTTTCTACTGGGACACTAATATTTTATTGTACACTGGGAAATTAAAAATTAAAAAAAAAAACCAAACAAACAACCCTTCATTATAACTGTTGGCTTCTCAGTAAACCAGCAATTTCCTTAGTGTAATTGAGAAAAATTCCATATTTCTGTCCAGGCCAGTATATTAAAAAAGCAATAAGAATCTTTCAGTATTAAATTATGAGGTACAAATACATTACTTTGTTTTTTAAAGCATTTTAAAAATTACATGATTCAGTAAGTTTTTAAAATTGCATTTCTCTGTGAACTTTTTCTCCATGGAAATTGAACACCTCTTGTTTTATGAAATTGATAGGTTTTATGTGGCCTTAATCAATATCAGCATTTGTCCCCAGGGCCACCCTCTACAAATCTTTCTATCTGGAAACAATTTTCAGAATCAATAAAAGCAAAGGTTTCTATCAGCTACAAGACTTATGAAAGCAGAAATTAATTGCTGTAATTGCTGGACCAATTGCATGCTCTGTATGACCTTTCCCAATGGCCAATGTATTAATATCTTCAGTGATCCCAGTACATCTAAAGACTTTATAAATAGGCCCTTGTAGCTTCATATTCCTTTCTTCAAGTAGAAAAAGGCCAATTAATGCCAAATAATAGTTGGGCCAACTTGATCAGTAAAGGCTTTGGTTCTCTATATATGCATAAAATATATGTAATCTATTAGGACAGGCAAGCCTATTTGAAAACATTGTTTAAAAGGACTATAAGAATTTGGAGTAATGTCTCAGCTTTCTCAATGTTTCCTCTTTGCAAGCTACTTCCAAGATAAATACAAATCCAGACTGTGGTGATGTAACTGGGCTGAATTTAAGGGAGGTGGTACAGGAGAGACATCCGCCCATCTACTTCTAGTGCTGCTAAACACAGTAGCACATTCAGTGACTGTGAGCTCTGCTGCATGCCATTTGTAAGCATCATTAAACCTTACCCAGGGTTCCTCTGTGGTTGCTTTTTGGTAAAAAACAAGATCTAGTTGATGACAACCTGTTTTTCACCAAAGTCGTGCTCCGAGGAGGAACTCCTGCCGTGGACAAACATGCAACCAAGTCTACTCAGCCTCCACAGATTTCTCTCTTCCTTTTTTGTCTCTTAAATATTCTGCAAACCCTTTATTAGAAGCTATGGTGTCAGGAAACTCTAGAAGAAAACTTCCTTCACTTTCAGCTCCTTCTACAAGCTCCTCTATAGACACTTCTTTGAATGCAGTGGCACTATGAATGCAATGGATTCCTATGACCTCGGGATTAATTTTTAAAAAACACATGAATTAACTGAGCTTCTAATGGTTTTGTCAGAAGGGAGAGAACCTATGCTCAAAGCACCTGTAACGTGACATACTAAAAGCAGGAAATCTTACCTCACAAGGTCTAGTGGTTGGTATTTATACCACACTCCCCAGGAAGCCCAGCACTCATAGAGCAGGTGTCTGTGGTTTTCTGCCCCATGGGTTCTTATTGAATTCTTACTTCTGTAACTTCCCTAAAATACAAATCTGGACATTAATAAACAACAGCAGCAAAAAGAATATCTAAGAAATCTCTCTCACTAGTGGCATGGATCACACAATTTATGCAAACTCCATACTTGTGCACTAAAAACTAAATATGATGTTAAAAGGACAATTTCCTCTGACTTTGGTAAGATTTGAGATTAGTATTCCTAAAATATTATCATAAATTATGTTGAAATCAAAGGCTATAAATGGGAGAATCAAAATGAGAAAACCACAGCGTGGTATTTTCCCCCCTTGAAAACATGCTGATTTATCAAACCCAAATACTTTTTAGAGAACAGATCCAGAACAACTCTCCTTATTCATCTCTTTCTGCAAGAAAAAAGTATTTTTTTTCCAAGAAAAAAGCATTACTAAATGGGAGGGATGTCAGAGGCAGATGCAGAATGCAAAATAGACTAATAACATTAATAAGATTGAGAATAAATAATTACACAATTAGGAATTCATTTTGTGGGAAATGTCTGTTCAAAAAGAAAAAAAAACTGAGAAAAATACCTCATGAAGAGGAAATGCAGCTTCATAGGAGCCATTACTGAGCAATCGATTCAGACCTAAGAATCAAAAGTATCCAATTATTTACCAATAGGACCAGAAAAACTGCTGCTTAAAAATCAAAATATATTTTCATAATAAGCTGGCTAAATGAAGTCTGAAGCCCATAGACAATAAAAGATACATGAAGACAAAAATAATCTTTTACAGATTTTGATTAACTAAGATATAACACAAGCAAAGATTTGTTCAAATATTAATCATAGTCTATCATTTATTATGCTGGAGGTTTAAAGATTCATTTTCCAAATCTATCTTTAGTGTAACTTCAGTGAAATCAGGGACCTCACACCAGGATTGAAGTTTGACTCCATAAATTATGATCTAATGAAGCTATTTAGATGAAAGGCTGTATTTCTTGGGAGCTGAAAACTTCAGGGAAGATCTTTACATTTTTGAACTGCAGGCCAGTAAAGCAACTGAAACTCTTAATTTCCATATGATAACAATGTTTTAAAATATGTTCAGTTTATGTCTTATGAGAGCTGCTGCACTAACAGGTAGAACAGGAACAAGACAGGTTGCAGTAGTATAAGACCAGAAAATATAGTTAAACCTGAACCATTGCTATTTGGCACAAAAAAAGTAATCATACACCCCAACTCAGTCAGGCCTTGTCCCTCTTTAATGAGAACCTCTAGAAAAAGAATGAATGATTGCTGAGGTGTGGGCACTTTTGGAAAGTCACCAAAACTACCAGGCAATACAGAACTAAATACTGGCCTGAAGGCATTTGAACTCCATTGACCAAGAGGCAAAGAATCCTGATACCTTTCCTAATTCACAGGAGGATTATAGCAGCAAGAAAACAGCAAATAGAAGTATTAATTCATCATAAATAGCACTTTCAGTGATTGCACTAGTATCTGCTTGGCAGAATGTGCTTTCTTCCAAAGTCTCTGGCAGAAAAGCAAAACCTGTACAGCTGAGCCAGGCTGTGCCCTGCCCAGTGAGCAATGCAAGGTTATGTTCATGGTAGGTACCATACAAGTAGGCATGTGAGGGAGCCTGGGATATTGAGGCAGGCAGGGACTGCAAGTGTGCGTGCTAGATGCAATGGCTGCGTGCACTGCATGAATTCTTCCCTTTCTCCTCTCCCCTCTGCTCACTGTCATTGCTCAGAGCTACTGCTGCCCTCATCCCAGGAGCTGAGGAAGTAACGAGTGAAGTTATGGGATGTTTCTCTACCTCTTAAGGAAGGACGAGGTTTGAACAGCAGGGAAATGAAACAGGCGGAAGAGTTTCATGCGTATTGCCTTTCTGTTTGTGATGCTCCAGTCTCTATGTGGTACACAAGCAGTATATGCTCTGTATCACAAGACAGAAGGGGGTCACTATTTTGTACTCCAGCCCTCTGTCACTGCCTACTCTCCTGGATCCACACATATGAGTCCACTCCACCCACTATTTTAAAGTGATGCCATAGTTATGCATGGTATCCTTTGCCTTGAGGGCACAGTTGGTGAACTCCCTTTTGACTTACAGCAGTTACTGAGATACAGAACCTTCCAACTCCCTTAGGGATGGACAGGTATCCAGGGAGAAGCCCTACAGGCCGAGATGTACAGCAGCACAAATCTTGACATCTTTACAAATATATTTTTATAAAGGATTAAAAGCTTTTCTGCATGAGTCTTCTTCTCCAGCATCCTTCACATGTACATATTTCCTGCTTAAGCCAAACTTTTTCTTTGCAGTGGTGATAGATCCCATGCAGTGACATGAAAATCTGCCTGTGGGAGCAGCCTGGTATTATTGAGAAACAATCAGGTCTTCCAGGTAAAGCCCCTACAACAGCAGTGGGTGAGATGCAAACAGGTCACAACTGAGGATAGAAATAAGGAAGCAAAGGCATCTGTTAGGAGCCCAGGCAGACTTCTCTTTTTTCTGGCAGGACTTAGCACCCACAATTAAAAGCATGTTGCTCAGTACTTACCAATTTTGTTTTTCCCTTCTTCATATTTCACTCTTTGCAAGATATGGTGTACAATCCTACTTCTTGTAGCATTATTAAAGAAAGTATCTTTGTTGTGTATGATGAAGCTGTATAAAAATACAAACAAAGGGCATCTCAGGAATATACAGTAACATGTTTAAAGCAAATATTGAGTTCCATTACTTTCTGTAGCACACTAAAAATTTACAGTATGTGAGCAAGTAGAAGGAAGATTAAAGGACACTAGATTAAGTGAGATGATTCACAGGATGAAATTATGTCAGTACCAGTATTCATTCCCTAACAAAGAATTACATGGAGGCATCTGAAGAAAGATCAGAGATATTTAAGCATTTATAGTAATAAGCATAATTTTTAGATAATTCACTGAAAACAACAAAATATTTGCACAAAAACTTGCAAAAGCATAAGATTTGTAAGTGCAGCTTAGAAATTCACATTACATTTCTATTTCAGGCTTCTTTATTATGCTTTACCATTAAGAGGCAAATGGAAACATCATTTATTTAGTAAATCACCCTTACTGCTAATCAAATGCTATGTTAGAAATAGAAAATATTATATACTTCTATGTGTGGTCCTGGAAGCTAAAACAGAGTAGAAAATTAGCTTTCAAAGGCTGCTTATGGAATTATGTATGAGTGCAGGTCCAATAGTCTAGACAGAATTGTGATGAGTCCGGGAAATTTAAACAAACAAAAAAAAGTCACAAAATACGTTGTATTGATTAGATTGGCTGGCATAATATATTTTATATAGATTTCTTAATCCCAGTACACATGCCCAAGGAAAACAAGATATTTTAGCATATCACCATAATCACTGGAAAAATGCAAACAACAGATGTTTAGAAATACTGTTTCAACTTGTCAGTTAAATACTGCTTAAGAAGTCTTACAGGTGCTTGAGTTGTGCAGGGCTTCAGGGTAGACTGTGAAAGTCATTTAGACACTTGAATAAGCAGGTAAGTGGATGAACTTTCTGATTAAATAGACCTATGCATATATTGAGGAAATTAAATATTTTTAAAAACGTAGTCCTTAGTAACTGACTGAATAGAAAGGCTTGTATTGTTAAAAATTCTTTGGATAGGAGGTAAGATTGTTTTCCTCCTCTGTGTTGGTGAAGACCTAGAGAATTGAATAAACTGATAAATAAAATGGTAAAATCATAGACATACCATAGAAAGAACAGTCTGTAGGACTACATTAGACAACTCTGACTTTAACAGAGATCATCTTAATAGGGAGCTTGACATGGATATATGTCACCTTTTCTTCTGCACAACATGCACTGCTCAGTTTTCCCCTCAGATAATTTTATCCAAATGAAAACTCATTTTTTTCAGAGTGAATCTTTATGAATCTTTCATATATGAAATCATATATGGCTTTGCACCGACCCAGTCATTTGGAAAACAGGCAAGGAGTCCAAATTCTGGTCTTTGGGGACTTGATATGCTCCCTCTTTGTTATCAAAATTCTCTGCTGAATTTTTCCATACAAGACAATCTATAAGTTCCTTATGTTCAGCTTCAAAGCTAGATAGAAAAATTCCCAAAGTAAAGGTATAAAAGACAAGTTGCTCCAAGAGCACCACGATTAATGAAACCCAGTTTTCTAGAAGGTACAGTCTCATGTCTCCTTTCCCACTCCACCCCAGATACTCACAGGTCATTTCTGTGTCCACGGTCTACTCAGTACTGTACTTCTGGCTTCCTCCCACATCCCTACTATTCCCAAAGTGACCTACTGTACCTATAGAAAGTAAGTTGATTTATGCATATTGGCTGACCACCATCTGCGTGCCAATTTACCAACTGGCTGCTACCAAGCAGCATATACAGTTGGTGTGCACTGGCCACCGCCTTTTCTGTATAGGCACAGTTTTTGTAAAATCACAGAATGGTTTGGGTTGGAGGGGACCTTAAAGATCATCTAGTTCCAACCCCTCTGCCATCAGCAGGGACACCTTCCACTAGACCAGGTTGCTCAAAGCCTCATCCAGCCTGGACTTGAACACTTCCAGGTATGGGGCATCCACAATTTCTCTGGGCAACCTGTTCCAGTGTCTCACCACCCTCACAGGAAAGAATTTCTTCCTAATATCTAATCTAAACCTACCCTCTTCCAGTTTAAAGCCATTTCCCCTTGTTTTGTCACTACCTGCCCTTATGAAAAGTCCCTCCCCAGCTTTCTTGTAGGCCCCCTTCAGGTACTGGAAGGCCGCTATAAGGTCTCCCCGGAGCCTTCTCTTCTCCAGGCTGAACAGCCCCAAGTCTCTCAGCCTGTCCTCATAAGAGAGGTGCTCCAGCCCCCGGATCATCCCTGTGACCTCCTCTGGACTTGCTCTAATAGGTCTATGTCTTTCTTGTGTTGGGGGCTCCAGAACTCCCAACCCAGGTGCATGACCTTGCATTTGGCCTTGTTGAACTTCATGAGGTTAGCACCGGCCCACCTCTCAAGCCTGTCAAGGTCCCTCTGGATGTCATCCATTCCCTCCAGTGTGTCATCCGCACCACACAGCTTGGTGTCGTCGGCAAACTTGCTGAGGGTGCACTCAATCCCACTGTCCATGTCACTGACAAAGATGCTGAAGAGCACCGGCCTCAATACCAACCCTTGAGGGACACCACTTATCACTGGCTTCCATTTGGACATTGAGCTGTTGAGCACAACTCTTTGAGTGTGACCATCCATCCAGTTCCTTATCTACTGAGTGGTCCATCCTTCAAACCCACGTTTCCAATTTAGAGACAAGGATGCCATGTGGGACAGTGTCAAACACCTTGCACAAGTCCAGGTAGATGACATCAGTTGCTTTAGCCTTATCCACCAATGTTGTGACCCTAAAAGGCCACCAGATTGGTCAGGCATGATTTGCCCTTGGTGAAGCCATGCTGATTGTTACCAATCACCTTCTCATTCTCCATGTGCCTTAGCATAGTTTCTAGGAGCATCTGCTCCATGATCTTGCCTGGCACTGAGGTGAGACTGACCGGCCTGTAGTTCCCCGGGTCTTCCTTGTTTCCCTTTTTGAAAATGGGGGTTATGTTCCCCTTTTTCAGTCTGCAGGAACTTCACCAGACTGCCAGGACTTCTCAAATATGATGGATAGTGGCTTTGCAACTTCATCTGCCAGTTCCCTCAGGACTTGAGGATGCATCCCATCAGGTCCCATGGACTTGTGCACCTTCAGGTTCCTTAGGTGGTCCTGAACCTGATCTTCTCCTACAGTGGGCGGCTTTTCGTTCTCCTGGACCCTTCCTTGGATTTCTAGTACTTGGGCAGTGTGGCACAAGCCCTCGCTGGTGGAGTGAGACAAAAAAGTAATTGAACACCTCAGCCTTCTCAGTGTCCCAGATGACCAGGTCTCCAGTTGTGTTCCTTAGAGAGAAGTTTTGAGCCACTGTTCCATTCTGAGCTACTGATACTCACAAAGTAAATAAAACTGCTTATCTTTGAGACAGCTACACCTGTACCAAACTTAGTTGAAAGAAAGCACTATGTAAAATAACAATTATTAGAAGGACTTTGACAAAAAGTAAACACTGTCACCACATAAGTCAATGTTTATGAAATTAAATATAAATTAAAAACAATCTAAACTCTGAAGTAGATAGAACACCATTATTTCCAGCTGAACTGGAGCGCTGTATTGGGCTGTTTTAGTAGCTGTGGAAACAAATTAAAAGACAGTAGTAAACCAGAAATGAACAGTTAGTGTTTTTCCCACTTTGTTTAATTTTCTTTTAATGTCTGACTTTCGTCTCCAAAATCTCACTTCACAGACAGCACTGAATGTTAAAGAACTGTGAAGATAACTTATGAAATCAAAACAACACAGTAATTTTCATTGTGACTGAGCTATGAATTCTTGTAGGATTCAATTGTGAATTGTATCACCTTATCTGGGAAACCAACAACATTGATACAGGTAACACCAATAATGTTAATCTATTCTCTTTGTGACATAAGGTTATTTTGCCCATCTGTTATCATGACTACATCATACTGCAACTACAGGTAGTTCCTTCAACAGTTTTTCTGGGCAAGTAGGTTAATAGTTTTTCTGCATTTAGTCACTTCTACTTTCATGAGTCATGAATAAAAAAAGACACAAATCAAACATTATGCAATTGTAAAAAGAAATAAGAATTACTCCTTTAACAAACACTTTAGTAATTTGCATTAATTTGTAAACTTAGCAATTGTGTTATACCTTTGATCTCACATGGCCAAGAAGGAAAAATCAGGTGTGTCTGGGAAGCAGATGTCAATAACTCAGTACAATAACAGAACTCTGCATATTCCAGAACTAGCTGAAGCAATCCTAAAACATTTAAGAGCTGCAGAGGCTCTGCCTGTCCATCCTTGTACCAGTAAAAGGCATCTGAGGGCAGAAGGGGCAGAGGAAAAGGAGAACTCCCCATGACTAGCGTAGGCCGAGAACATGTCCTTCAGTGTTTTCCAACATTACTCATGGAGACATGGATGCAGAAGACATGCTAGAGTTGACCAAAGGTGAAAAAGGAGTGCCAAAACGAGTTGTCTGGATGTCCTGGACTATCCCTAACAGCAGCATTATTTTGGGATGGCATTGCATGTGGTAAAGGTTAAAAATAATCCTCACCTATTTTTTAATATAAAATGATATTTTTTTCTTTTGTTTAATTCAAATACTCAGATAATTTCTGTGAAATTATAGAGTAGCCCCAGAAAGAGCATTATCACAATAAGCAAAAAGGCAGGGAGCTCTGGTACAGGAAAAAAAATAGGCAGGCATGAGTGAGAGGCGTTGAAAGGTTGAGAATATCTCAAGTAGTTGTAACTATGTGCTACAACATCCCAGTTAGAGATTGACATAAATTATGACAATGCCAGGGAAGTTTCAATTTATCTCCAAAATCACAGAACTTGCTCTTGTCAGGTGAGAATCATGCAGTTCAGTGCAGGACTTACTGCTCTCTACCACCACTCTTCTCTCCCACACTTTATGGACATCTCTTCCTCAAAAATTTTTGTGCTCCAAGTTGTCTTCTTTCTGAATATGGGTGGTAAATATCCACCAAGGCTATTTCATGGTC